GTCCCCGTGCCGCCGTCGCGGGGGCTCCTCCGCGAGCGCCGGGGAGAAGAGCCTGAGGCAGTCCGTACCGCGGCTTCTGGCCTGCAACTGCAGCACTAGTGAAAACGCGCTTGGACTGTTTTTCTCTTGCCCGCTCCTCTTGCAGCAGCGCTGTGCTGGCGCGCAAGGGAAGGGAGCGATCGCTGGGTTTGGACGCTGAAGAGCTTCCCTGACCTATAGGGGATCTACAGGAGTCAAGTTCTTTCCATAAGTTCTCAAAGCGTCTTTGCTTTCTAGGAAAAATGACTTCTGAAAGCAGTTCTTTCGTGAAAGGTGTGGTGTTAGGAGGAGTCTTCTGCGTGTTGGTTACGCTTCTGGGACACGTCAAGATGGGCCATGGCACTAAAGAACGTCACCACGAGCATCATCACATTCAAGCTCCCAACAAAGAAGATGTCTTAAATCTTTCAGAAGGTGAACGTATGGAGCTTAGTGAAAGTATCCGTGTTTACTGTATCATCCTGGTGAGACCAAAAGATCTCGGGCACTGGGCTGCCGTGAAGGAGACGTGGAGCAAGCACTGTGACAAGGCAGAGTTTTACAGCTCTGAAAAAGTTAAAGTATTTGATTCGGTAGCCCTCAATACAAATGATATGTGGATGATGATGAGAAAAGCTTACAAAATAACTTATGAACGTTATAAAAATGAATTCAACTGGTTCTTTCTTGCACATCCAACAACGTTTGCCATTATTGAAAATCTCAAATATTTCTTGCTGAAAAAAGACCCTTCACAGCCTTTTTATATAGGTCATACTGTGAAATCCGGTGACCTTGAGTACGTAGATGGTGATGGAGGAATCGTCTTAAGCATCGAATCGCTAAGACGACTTTCCACTGTTTTTGAAGACTCTGACAAATGTCCAGAGCAGGGAGGTATGATTTGGAAACTTTCTGAGGATAAACAGCTGGCAGTTTGCCTGAAGTATACTGGAGTGTTCGCTGAAAACGCAGAAGACTCAGAAGGAAAAGATGTCTTTAATACCAAATCAGTCAGTGCTCTCATTAAAGAGGCAATGTCCAGTCACCCTCAGCAAGTGGTGGAAGGTTGCTGCTCAGACACGGCCATCACCTTCAGCGGACTGGCCCCGAACCACATGCACGTAATGATGTATGGCGTTTACAGGCTGAGACCGTATGGCCACACTTACAATGATGCCCTTGTCTTCTTACCACCTGCAGATTCAGACAATGACTGACGTCTCTTCAGAGAAGGCATGTAACCATGAAGTCTGCCCTTCCTGTGACATGTGTCTGTACAGACTGATTCAATTTTTGTATCTGATGGTACTGGTGAACATTTTGCACATTGAGGTTTGGTAATGCTTTTAATTTTAGAAGTGGGAAGGAGAACTCTTTTCTATATCTTTTATACAGAAACGTTTCTGGCTTTTGACAGTGCTGAAATGAAACGCTAAAGGAATTGTTCATGTTTGTGATAAAGGAAATTAAATTTATATGGGGTGTTTGTATATGTAAATATTTATTAATGAAAAATCAAGTGAACCTTAGTCTACTGTTACAAATATATTTTTGCAAGATTTTGATTCTTTTGAATTCTTTCAGGCATTTCTCCAATGTCTTTCTATCTTTCTAAGCTGTACCAATAAAACTGACTACAAATTCATTATCAATGATTAACTTTAAGCTATTTCCTTTGCATTAAGCTGTCAAACTCACTTTTTATAGTCTCAAATTTCAGTGGACTGTAGAATCTTAGTTAGTGTTTGTGAACAATGTGGAGGGATGCTATATCTACTAATTAATCATTGGAATTGATTTTTTGTGAAAAATACTCATCTTACCTTGTACTGTTGAAACTACTTTCTCTAACCTGTGGCACAGATGAGGCTGAGCACGTTTCTGTGCCTTATGTTCAGATTAAGAACGCAGCAGACAAAAACGTAGAAAGTAGGGAGAATAACCTGAAGCCACAACCCAAAACATTTTCTTAAAAGAAAAGACTTAGGTAGCCACGAGGTAAGGCTTCAAATACCCTTTTTCATACAAGCAAAACCATGTATTATTTTTAAAGGAAGAAATACTGTTTACTGAAAAAAGCCTTGTGTTCTTTGGAGGAGTTGCATAGCAGCAAAAGAACAAACTTAGTATGTGCTACATCATGTACTCTCTCGGGGGGACTGCAACCATGCAAGCGTTTAGACTAGAAAGTTAACAGTTTTAAGGAAGTAAATCAAGTGCCTGGCAGTAGCAGTCAGGTGTCACTGTAATCTGTGAACATCCAAGACAACCAAAGCTTCTCACTTTTAGTTGTGAAATAAAACTATGCATTCTCTTCACTGAACGTTACAAGAGACCGAGCAAGCTTTCTTCCTGTTAGGTGTTTACTGATGGTTACAGGACTGACCTGGGCTCTTGGGTTGCCCAGCATTGCTTGATGCTTTGTTTTAACATGCAATTAAAAAAAAAAATGCAGAGCCTCATAGATGAAATGCTTCTACTTACCTAAAGAAATTAGCTAGTGCTGATATGTTACAGTAACAAAATAGTAAGTGCAGGGGGGAGTACATATACTGAGCAATGAAAATACAAGTGCCTTGAGAAATTTTTCCATCACAAGGAAAAGATTTTATATTCTCTACAATAGCTTGAGCAATACTGGTTATACTGCACAGCCTCCTATCGCTCTGTGTAATTTTCTAACCCAGTAAGAGCAGGACGCAAGCTAACAATAGTGTTCTAGACCTTTAACAGACTTTTTAAAGTGACCCTTGGACTTTCATTCTTAAGTGGACAAAAGAAAGAGATAACTAAATTTGAATAAATATTAACATGGTAAGGTAGCCTGTTAGCACAAGAGTAATTGCTCTTTTTAAATTCTGCTTGACGTATAAGCATATTAGAATAAAGGTTTAGTCTATTAATTTTCACTCCTGCTAGTGGTGCTGACAGTATTACAAGGAAGAAGTTGGTGAGCTGTCAGTACAAATGTAAAATACAGATGTATCTACAGATATTTTTTAACACCAAGCAGCAACATGTACTTGCACTCAACCTTTCTTTGAAAGTGATTCAAGATAGATAAGCGTGCAACAAAGAAGCGTGTAGAACTCCAAAATACTGGGGTTTTCTAGCAAGTAAGTGCATTGAAAGTTTCATATAAATTATCAGATCACGCTCCATTCCTTCCCCAGTCACAGTAAATGGCAATGAACACTTCAATATGTTCACTCCATTTGAAATTCGCCTCCCTGACGTAGACGTTTCAAGACTTAAGGAGAGTCCTGCAACTGTCTACTACGTCTAGGAGCTTTACAGGAATTGTTGATACTAGGGAATCTGTAGAACACCTGAGAAAATACTAGGTTACAACACCTTTATCAGACCATTTGTAATATCTCATTCTGTCTTCAGCTGCAGAAAAACACATAGTCGTGAAACGGCTGCTTCAGATCTGATGAGAATATCACCGTCTCTTTTGATGGTGTCAGATCCCTCATTTTTTGAGACTGGTAAGATAACTGCTCAGACACCCAAGCAAGCTACCATAGCCCAGCTGTTTAACATGGCACACTTCACCTCATGATTTGTGCATATTCTCCTCCTACTGCCAGCCAGAGCTCAGCTGACGTACCAAGACACACAAGTGCACAACGGTAGCCAAGACCTAGATAAAACTGTAGTTAGTATTTTTAACAACTGCAACAACTTGCTAAATTGGTATGTCAATCAATCAAAGCTTGATTTAACTTTATCTGCTTACAAAATGCTTTTCAAAAGACGGGCTTCACAATGTAGCGTACTCTGACAAAGCCAGACAAAGTGAGAATTAAGTAAGATTTTGATTTCAGGAGCATTTCCAATAGTCATTACAGTTCTGACCCTGCTGCAGCAACAGTCATAGGACAAGTCAGGGAAAGA